TTAAATATAAATCCCAGAGACTAGACAGAAACCAAGGCCCTGAGCCCAGGGCAGCTATGCTGGGTGAACTCTTCTGGGAGCTGCCTTGCCACTCATCCTTCCATCCTTCCCCAGTTCTTAACTTTGAGCCATAAAGAGTACCAGGTCTGGGTGAAAGCGATACTTTTATGCAACCATAAGACAAAATCCTGAAATGCCAAATGCCTGCTTAGTAGCTTTGGAAAGGTGCCCTTACTGAACATTCTAGAAGGGATGGCCAGATCTTCAAGGGTCTCCTGTTCTTTTCAGGCTCCTAATGTAACATCAGCCATTTTTAGATTGGCTCTGTTCTCATACCTTCCCAGTGGCTTCAAGTGAGCCGACAAACTGACACTGCGTGCCCTTTGTCTTCCCCTAATTCTGCAGGTGGAGGTTGGTGGTCTAGTTTCCTTTTTGAGATACGTTTTCATTTTTGAGACTCTTTGTAATAAAATGGTACATTTCTATACAAAAAAATTAACTGTTTAGACCCCATGTCTCCCCACTGCCTGTCATAGTGGAAAGATGTCTTTTCTCTTGTTGAAAACTTTACTCATCTGTTTGCTGGATTTGGTTATCTACCTTCCTTTTCAGTATCTCACCCCTTCAGAAAGGCTCTCTCTTCTGTAACCAACTGAACCTTGTCTCTACTGACTCCTTTTCCTCAGCTTTTATACATACTTGAATCTTCAATCTCCTCCACTAAAAAAGGCATCCTTCAAGCCGGTAATCCCCTTTCAGTGCTGCCATCTTGCTCCTCCTTTGTAGTGAGCCCTTTTGAAGAGTATCTACATTTAAACCATCACCCATTCCTCACCAATCCATTTACCTTCTGGTTCCTAATGCCACCACTCCACTGAAACTTCCCCGAGCAAAGTCCCCCATCTCTATTGCTAAACACACGGGTTACTTATTTAGGTGTCACCTTATTTGACCATGTGGCCATATTTGACAGGACAGCAGTTTCTCCTCTTCAAAGAACTCTTTCGTTGCCTTCCATGTCATGCTCTGCGGGTTTTTCTTTTTGGATTTCTTTTCTTTCTAACCTTTAAGTACTAGTGTTCCTTGAGGCTGTACTCTGAGACCTCTTCTATTTATTCTTAACACTATTCATTCTTCCTGGAGAATCCCACCCACCCCACAGCTTTTATACAGCATCCTCTGTAGGCTAAGGATTCCTGAGTCTCAATCCCTAGCCCAGATTTCTCTTGAGCCTCAGAGTAAAGTATCAGAGTAATTACAGTACATGTTTATTGAGATATCCCATAGTGCCTCAAACTCAGCTTAAGCTGTCTAAAACCGAGCTCCATCTTTCTCCATCCATTCTTCCCTCTGTGCGTTTGATATCTCAGTGAATGATACCAACCTCTCAATTCAGTTGTCTGAATAAGAAATTTGGGCATTGTCTTCAATTTCTTCTTCTTTTCATCTCTCCCCCATATCCAGTCATGTAGATATATGGATATCCATCCTTCATAATCATTAATTGTGATTATGAAGTTCCATAAAACTGCATAAATCATTAAGTTTTGTTCATTTTTACCTGCAAAATATTGAAAATGTCTTTTGTTTCCCTGTTGCCACTGCGTACCTTTAAATTGGAGTGTCATCATCTCTCTCCTAGATTTAGCTGAAGCCTCTTACATGATTTATGTGCCTCTAATCTTGAACCCCTCTAACTCACTCCCTACATACTGGCCAGAGAGACTTTTCAAAATCATACCATTGAGAGATAACCATTACATGCTGGTTTTGCCTGAGGGCCTCTTTACACCTGCATTTTCTCTCCTGGTTCTTTGTCTTCCTTCTGCTTCCTTTTTGCATGATTAACCCGTATTTATTCTACCTGAATCTAACTTTTTACTTACTTAGTATTCTACTATTTATTAATCTTATTCCACGTGTTATTATTTTCAAACTTGTAATCTTAAATTTGAGAATATCAATAAGGACTTAAATTGATTTGAGGAACTGGAAGTATTTTGTGTCTAGCTAATGTTTGTTATTTTTCTTTTTTGTCTTTCTCATTCATTATCATAACAACAAATGTCCAAAGAACTCCCATTAAAAAGTAATGTGTTAATAAAAGGACAGTCAGATTCCTTTGTTTGTACTGACACGTGTGTGGAGGGGTAGGATTTGTTATGGATTTACTTTATATATGCTTAAAGACTTTTAAGCATCAGCTGAGCTACTACTTCCGTATGCCTTCCTTACTTCCTCTGCTTGTGCAGCTGTAGAATTGAATCAATAAAGGTGTCAAGGAGTAGATGGCTGGATTGGAGCTTGATCAGTGTGGGAGGAACTGTGTGTGTACTGTATAACTGTCCTTAAGCAGTTCAATATGTTCTCTGAGGGTTTTCTATGTATTCACCTTCCAACCTAGGAAATTCTGCCAACAACAAAATTTTATTTCTACAGATGCTGGTGCCTGACTCTTGCTCAGGCTTCTGTCAGACATAATGTTTGAGAGGGGAGAGGGAAGGAACAGGAAAGGCCTCAGTATTTTGAGAAATTGTGTGGCAACTTTTGCATCTCTGCTTTGCCCATTTTTTTTTCCTCCTGATGTTCACCCACCCCAACACTTTTCCCTTATTGATGAATATCACTGAAGACACATGGTAGAATTATTTGTAGTAGGTCTCTAGTTGTATTTAAAGTAGTTGAATAAGGCACTTAAATTACCATTGCCCAAAGTGGTGAAAAGAAATCAAGTTAGTGATAATTTTTTAAGAGTTACGTCTGCGTAATAGTATTTTTTAAATATATGAATTCTCTAGAAAGTTTAATTTAAAAATGTATCATGTGGCTGGGCATGGTGGCTCATGCCTATAATCCCAGCACTTTGGGAAGCGGAGGCAAGCAGATCACTTGAGCCCAGGAGTTCCAGACTGGGCAACATAGTGAGACCCTGTCTTTAAAAAAAAAAAAAAAAATCATGTGATGATGACCTCTGGAAAATCCTCCAATTCAGCACAGCAATACTGTTAGAGATTTCGGTTGTTAGAGATCTGCCCTGGATTTCTTATTTTCTAGTGATTAGCTTTAGGTAGATATTAATAAATGAGGAGAAGGTACCTGGGCAATCAAGAAATTCGCCTTCAAAAGGTATATATATGGGAAGTTATTTTTCTAATTAGTGGAATATTGGCAAGTAAAGTTTAAAGATGGAGAAAGTACTTTACAGGACTTGGAAAAAGCAACTAATATATCAGCACCTAGAATGAAAACCTAAAATTCTGTAGTAATAAAAAGTGAACAATCTTTCTAAATTAATACAGAATTATTCAAATAAGTTTCTTCCAGTTCCCCATTGCCTGACCATGAGTATAGTAAATTCTCTACTAGGATTGCTTTTTTTTTTGGTGGTGGTGGTGGTAAAAAACACCTACCATATATTTACCCTCTTAACAACTTATAAGTGTATATTACAGCGTCCTTAACTATGTGTACATTGTTGTACAACAGATCTCCAGAACTTTTTCATATTGTGTGACTAAAACTCTGTACTCGTTAAACAAATCCCCATTTCCCCCTCATCAGCCCCAGCAATCACCATTCTGTTATACTTTATGTTTCTGTGAGCTTAACTACTTTAGATAATCCGTGTAAGTAGAATCATGCAGTATTTGTCTTTCTGTGATTGGCTTATTTCACTTAACATAATGTCCTCAAGGTTCATCCATGTTGTAACATGTAACAAGATTTTTTTTAAGGCTGAATAATATTTCTTTGTATTTATGTACCACATTTTCTTTATCAATTCATTTGTCAATGTACATTTAGGTTACTTCCACATCTTGGCTTTTGTGACTAATGCTGCAGTGCATATAAGTTTCTGAATATCTCTTTGATACTCTGCTTTCGTTTTTTTTTGGATAAATACCCAGAAGTGGGATTACTGGATCATATGGTAGTTCTATTTTTAATTTTTTGAGAAACCTCTGTACTGCTTTCCGTAGCAGCTGCACCATTTTACATTTCTGCCAGCAGTTCACAGGGGTTTCAATTTCTCCACATGCTCACCAACACTTGTTGTTTCCTGTTTTTTTGACAGTGGCCATCCTAATGAGTATAGTGGCCATCCTAATGAGTATAAGGTGATAGCTCACTATGGTTTTGAGTTCCCTGATGACTAATGATGTTGAGTATCTTTTCACACAGCAAGCATGCTTTTTGACCACTTACGTATCTTTTTTGGAGAAATATCTATTAATTACTTCGCCCATTTTTTATTGAGGTTATTTGTTTTTCTGTTATTGAGTTGCAGGCATTCTTTACATATTCTGAATATTTACTCCTTATCCAGTATATGTTTTGCCAATATTTTTCCCATTCTCTAGCTTGCCCCCTACAAGGTTGCCTTTTAACAGCCCAGGACTGTCTGTTATTGTCACAGCCTTAACTTAAATCTGACTCTGGTAATTCACATCAACCCCAGCTTGATTCTTACCTAATTCCTAACTCTAGACTTAAATTTTGACTGCCTTCCCTTTCCACATTGTCTTAGCTATCTTTATTGATAGCTTTACTGCTAACCCTGATTTTCATTCCCCATGACCTCTTCTTTGCTAATATTTTAATAAGTGATGATTTTAAAATAAGGCATATGTTTGGCATAAACCAGGAAAAAATTATAACCTCCATATTAATCTTAAATGTAAAAATTTAAAGCAGAAGTTAAAATCTGCTTTATAAGAAGTAAGTTCTTATGTTAAAATAACCAAATTTGAAAATATTCCCTTTGAAGGAATAAGAGAGGCATGGTGTTTTGAATCAATACATTTGGTGAGTGTGTAGGAAGACAGTCATAGTTGTGTGTGTTCCAAAGTCTTACACCTCTTTTTGACCCACTAATCAAACTAGAAATGTCACATGGAACTTGTTGAGTGAACCAGTAATTTTACATTTGTTAAAATAGAGTTATAGTAAGTGGCTGAATGTTCTGATTGACCACACATAATGTAGAGTGTATTTCCTAGCAAATAATGAAAGATCGATGGATGAATGTTGGTCATGAAGAAGAAGAACTAAAGCCATATACTGAGCCTGATCCAGATTTCAATGACATGAAAAGAATAGGTAAGTATTTAAACATGGTAAGAAGTACTGTCCCTAGGCAGCAAGTAAGAGTTCTTTAGTGTACCAAAATAGTGTTTAAAAGTATAAATAGGAAGCAATTTTTATTTGAAAAATACTTGCATTATCATTTTAATGATAATACACTAAAAATTATACATTTCAAGTTCCCTAATTTGTTCTCATATATATTATGGTCTAATTCAATGTTTGACAATGATGATATAAAACTTAATGTAAATAAATTGAATTCTTTACTTTCAGTTATGCCCAGCAGGAGGAATGGCTGATATGACTATCAGCACTGATCAGACTGATAAGTATCAGCGAACATAGCATGTATTTTAACCAAAGATACAGAGGCACTGAATTAAGAGTTGAACACTTTGGCTCTCCCTTTCTTTTTCTACTGTCTTAACAATGTTTATTCTCCCTCGTCACTCGTCCTGCTACTGCCCATACCCAGCCAGAGCTGTCCTTCTAACTTGTTCTTTTCATTTCGCAATCCCTTCCCAAAGCCATCATTTAGTCTCAACTGAGTCATCTCAACTGTGTTCCTATTTGACTTGAGGGCAGAGTGGCAGGGGAGAGCATTTTAGGGTATTAGGAACCTGATCAGAAAAACCATGGAAATTCAGATCTCCCAAAGAAGAGTCACCCTACTGCAAATCAGAAAGCAGAAATTGTTAAGAGACGAAAGAAACCACTGCACAAGTAGCTGAGGATGAGTTGAGAGAAAGAGAATTTTGCGTGTAACAAAGACTGACATGGTCTTAGACTGGACAAAGAAAGTTAGCTCAGGAATGTATGAGGCAATGAGAAATTAAGTGGGCCCGTTAATATATTACCCATGATGTAGATAATTTCTGCATGTAAAAGTATCATTGTACAATATCTGTGAAAATATGGTATCCATAGGTTAATAGTCCAGAAGTTTTTTAAACTACACTAAATTTTCATGACTAAGTTTTCATATTCAAAGTTGGCAGACTTGCCCGTGTTTGTTGATTTGTTTATGAAAATAAAACCATTTTCAGAAAATTTCTCTTTTTTAAATTTCTAGACATTATGGTCACCATGGGCTTTGCACGAGATGAAATAAATGATGCCTTAATAAATCAGAAGTATGATGAAGTTATGGCTACTTATATTCTTCTAGGTAGAAAACCACCTGAAGTAAGTTTTTCACCTTTTCAAATTACTGTGAATTATTTTTTGAGCTTATATATTAGTAAATATATTCTTTGTGGAATCAAAAATAATATAAAGATCCTACTCTAACATTCTTATTTGTTGGAACTCAAAAATCACGATGTTAAATTACAAACTGGTGTTATTTCTGGGTACCAAGACAGATTTTATGAAAGAATAGGCTTACTGTCTTTCTTAGCTCCAGGAGCCACCATTCACAGCCTGGCCTTTGAGAATGGCCTCCCCCACAGCTTGTGCATCCAAATGTAACAGTCTCACCAAAGGTAATATGGTTATTCCAGGTGTGCAGAAAAGACAGTGACTGAAACGTGAGGAAGTGATAGCATTTAAAATAAAATGTATGTCTTAAAGGATTGTTAAAAGAGGTAACTCCAGGAAAGGTTATGTGATGACATTTTGCCTTATAAAGTGTCAAGTGACTGATGCTTTCAGTTGGGAATTCTCAAGGCCAGGAGAACTATAATAAGGAGATATACTCAGAAAATAACTGTATACAAATGGTGAACTTTGTTAGTCAGTTTTGCATTGCTATAAAGAAGTACCTGAGACTGGGTAATTTATAAAGAAAAGAAGCTTATTTGACTCACAGTACTGCAGGCTGTACACAAAGCATAGTGTTGGCATCTGCTTCTGATAAGAGCCTCAGGAAGCTTACAGACATGATGGAAGGTGAGGGGGAGCCAGCATGTCACATGGCAAGAGGGAGCAGGTGAGAGGTGGGGGAGGTGCCACGCTGTTTTAAATAACCAGATCTAGCGTGAACACAAAGAGGGAGAGCTTGTTACCATGAGGACAGCACCAGGCCATTCATGAAGGGTCCACCTTCTTGACTCAAATACCTCCCTCTAGGCCCACTCCAACATTGGAGGTCACACTTCAACATGAGATTTGGAGGGGACAGAGCGTCCAAACCATATCATGAAGCTTAAAAGCAAATGATTCTTTAGCAAAACAAATATAAAGGCTATACATGGAGAGTCAAGAACAGATTGCAGGACATTAATAATTTATTGGAAATTAGACATCTGTGGGAGGTATTTTAGAGACAAAAAGCTGAAATTATTTATAATTCCGTAGTAACTGTTAATGGAGCAGTGCATTCCAGCTGGCATATATTGAACCTTTATTGTACCAGAAACGATGCTGGGTACTGTGAATAGAAAGACGAGAAAGTCTCTGCTCTCAAGGAGCCCTTGGTCTAGAGGGGAGGCAAGCAGTTAATAGTATGGTACAGTATGTGTTCTCATTTGGGGGATGCACAGCATACTCTGGGAGCATATAGGTGGACATGTACCTACAGTAGGCTAAGGTCAGACCCACCAAGGCAGGTCTGTGTGACATGTAAGAAGTAGAATTAACAGTAGTACTTGGGGACCAGTTAGAAATAAGAGATAAGAGCCCATGAGATTTCCAATATGGATGACTGTGCAAGCACATTTGTCAAGATAGGAAAGGTACAGATTTCAGGGGGAAGACAAGAAGTTCAATTTGGGATGGTTAAATTTGAGATTCTGTTGGATGGAGCTGTCTATTAGGCATTTGGATATATAGATCTGAATTAGGGGGAGAGATTTGAATAATTAACAGATTTGGAGTCTTCATTAGAGGGGAACACATTGCACATAGTAATGTGCCAGGGACTGTTCTAAGGACTTTACAAATATTAATTAACCTAATCCTCCCAGTGAACCTACCAGGTGGGTACTATTATAATGGAAGAGAATCTTTAGTGGAGACATTAACAGCTAGAGATGTGGTATCAAAGAAGCGAAGTCAAGAGAATTTTAAGTGGGAAATAGTACAAATGGTTATTTCTAAAGGCTTTGAACTGTTTCTACTTAGATTTTAAAGTACACTCCTGAGGTCTTTAATTTTCCTGTAAATTTAAATATAAAAGAAGCACTAATTTTATAAGTATATAACCATACCATGCATGAATTTAAATGAAGTGTGAATTGTATCAAATATAAATGGATGAGGCTACTGGTAAGTAGTAAGAGCCTGAACTTTGGAGCCAGCTTCACTGGATCTAAGTCCCCCTGACCCCTGCCCTGTCCCAGCACAACCACTAACTGTGCAACTAAGGCAATTAATTTTCTGTGCCTCAGTTTTCTTATCTATAAAATGAGGGCAGTAATAGTGCTTATCTTTTAGGATCATTGAAAGTGTTAAATGAATGAGCACTTATAAACTCGGAACAGTTTCTAGTGGATTATTATGGGCTTAAAAACTCGGAACAGTTTCTAGCGGATTATTATGTGCTCTGCATTAGCTGTTTATCATCATCAGTATTACTCTGCGATTTATCACTAGTATTATCTGTATATGAATTTAGATTTCCTATTGGGATGCCAGTGAGGCCATCAAAAGTTTGCTGGCAGCAAACAACTTGTATGTTACAAAGAGAGGGATAGTGTGTCAACCCGCAGTTTACCATGCTGAGTTCTAAGTAGATACGGTTTCCTGATCAGAAACAGTAAACTGTATTTTTTTTTTTTTTGCAAATGTGGAGAAAACAAAACAAACAAATCTATATGTATGTTTATATGCATACATATGTGTATATACATGTGTGTATATTTAAAATTTTAGATTTTATTTTAAGTTTGAATCTCAATAATGCCCCTTAACTTTTTTAACCTCAGTTTTTCCATCTGTAAAGTGTAGGTTAATACATCATAGGTTTGTTGTGATGATTAAATAAAGTAACATATAGAAAGAGCTTAGCACAGTGCCTAGTCTATAATAACCATTCAATAATTGGTAGCTGTTCTTTGGTATTTTGACTAAACTAAGGATTTGTACAAGATAATAGAAGATTATGAGTAGTCACTAAAGCATATTCTATTCAGTTCACTCCTTTTCCTGCTTGCCAACTTAAAGTTCTAGGCCCAATACTACACTGTGTTTTCAGTTTGGATTACTTCTTATATAGCTTTAAATCATTTAGAAAATCAAAAGTGCAGTATTTGTGCAAACTTTTTTTTTTTTTTTTTTTTGCTTTAAAATCCTTGTGGTTTTTCTTCTTGTAGTTTGAAGGTGGTGAATCATTATCCAGTGGAAACTTGTGTCAGAGGTCCCGGCCCAGTAGTGACTTAAACAACAGCACTCTTCAGTCCCCTGCTCACCTGAAGGTCCAGAGAAGTATCTCAGCAAATCAGAAGCAGCGGCGTTTCAGTGATCATGGTAGGGGAAAAAGTTAAATAAGTGAAACAACACACGGGTTCTACCTAAACTTGTGTTTTTAAAGCATTGTACATTCACGTCTCTATGTACTTGTGTCATCTAGTTCTCACAGACTTATATTACTGAATTATAAATATAATCCCTTTTACAGGCACTGACCTGATTTTTGAAATCACAATTTAATCTTCATTCAGAGTTTAAAGCATGCAAATGTGGATAATTTTAATACAGAGTTTTTGTTTGTGAGCAGAAAATAAATCAGTTGTTTTTCAGCTCATTATGCTATTTTTTTTTTTTTAATTATAGCTGGTCCATCCATTCCTCCTGCTGTATCATATACCAAAAGAGCTCAGGCTAACAGTGTGGAAAGTGAACAGAAAGAAGAGTGGGACAAAGATGTGGCTCGAAAACTTGGCAGCACAACAGTTGGATCAAAAAGCGAGATGACTGCAAGCCCTCTTGTAGGGCCAGAGAGGAAAAAATCTTCAACTATTCCAAGTGTGAGTAAATATTCTGGTATATTGCAATTTATTGTAATAACTTGTTTCAGGGTTATGTGTAAAATTTTTATCTTTCATTTTTTTAATGATTGAAAATTTTAAAGGGAATTATACTTTAAAGAACATGTAAAAGGGACCACACTTCTCATAAATGCAAGTTAAAAACAACAAAAAAGAATTCATTTTTGCATGTATAACACTTAACACAAAATGGTACATTAAACTTTCCCGCTTCATTTTCCTTTTTATAATGTTTATTTAATATCATATTGGCACATTTCATTTTTATTTACAAATAAGCCGTTTAATGAAGGCAGACTCAGGTAATAATTAATTTATAAAGTTGCCTCACATTATTCACTTAAAAACAGCAAACCATAGAAATTATATAATGGGAACTAGAAGAGGGTTTGAAATGTTCTCCCGTAAGGCTGCAGGGAAGAATAGAGATAGAACATATAAAAGAAAACTAAGATATATGAAAGGTAAAAATAGAATTGGTAACATTCAGATAATAGGTGTTTTGAAAGGAAAGGGAGCAAAATGAAGGAAGAGAAATAGTTAAAGAAATAATAACAAAAAATAAAGAGGGAAGATTTCATTTTGAAAGGACCCAGAATCGCAAATAGAAGCCAGAAAGAAAATCTATTCCTGGACTCTTGAAGTGGAATTTATAGATACCGAAAACAAGGTGAAGAATATTTTAAAGATTCCAGAGTCAGAGCGAAGAAAACCTTAAAACAAACAAGATTCTGTAGTCCCAGCTACTCAGGAGGCTGAGGCTGGAGAATAGCATGAACCTGGGAGGTGGAGCTTGCAGTGAGCAGATCCCACCACTGCACTCCAGCCTGGGCAACAGAGCGAGACTCCGTTTCAAAAAAAAAAAAAAAAAAAAAAAAACAAGGAACAAGATTCAGATTGACCTTAGGTTTCTCAACAACAACATGGATACAGTAAAGTAAAGGGGAAAATATTTTTAAAGTATTTAAAGAAAAGCACATTGAGCCTAGAAATTTTATCTAGCCGTGTTGACATTTAAATATGAAGGTACAAAAACCATGCATGTTCTTTGGCATAAAATGTCTCAACTGTTTGACTACACAGTGACCATTTGAAAACACCTTAGTTGGAGGACGTATTCTTACAAGAAGAGAAATGAATCTAGAATGTTGCTGTAAAATATATAGGAGTTGAAAGTAATCAACTTACTGAAGTATTGTATGTAGTAACATAAGCAAAAAGAGGAAAATAATGAAAATTCAGAATCAAAACTCTGGATAGTATCCAGGGCATAAGGATAGACGTGGAGATAACTACTTTAAGAATTGATGGATATAACCGCTTAGCTTCCACCTGATCTGTTTAGAAATGATTGAACTATAATGGGACTTATATTTGCCTTAGAGGACAGTTTCCAGTGTAATCACCCTGCATAGCAGAAAGAAATAATTGGTCCTGTACTTTCTACCACTTAATATTAACCTGTCATTTGACTGAACTGAGTCTTATTTTCCCATGAACATACTCAGCTTTGTCTATCTCCATGCCTGTCTTTATGTAGTGCCCTTGCCTAAACATTCCCTTTACATTATGAAAATTCCATTTCCATAGATCATTTCAAGTCTTGTCTCCTGGATAGAATCTTTTATGGCCGAATACTCCAAAACTCATCAGCTTTTTCAATTGCTTATCCTGTCATTTAGCTCTTAGCTGCTTATATGCTGTCTTGTTTCATTCACTGTTGTTTTCCCATGTAAACCTTATCTCCCCAAATTTATAATCTGTTGTATATTGACACAGTAGCTTTCTCAGAGTCATTAGTGCTGAAGCATGTAGTGTGTATTCAAAGCATATTTATTAAAGAAGGCCTAAAAATTAAGGGATTAGTTTAAATTCAACTTAATTATGCCATACCGATTTATCGTTTTTTTTAAAAACATAAGCTAAAAGATTTTGATAGAGAAATTCTGTTCTTAGCCACATAATACTATAATATATTGTTATTTACTGTTTTAATTTTCGTAGTTTGAGAAACCAAAGTAATGTGTTTTGTTTAATTTTAGCATTTCAGGAGTTTCTAAAGTGAAATTAATCATCTCTTCTTCCCTATCCATTTCCTTTTAGTCTGAACTCCTAATATAACTAGTGCTAATCGTTTAGGATGAATTCTTCTATAGATTTTCCTTCGTTAAAGAAAACAGACCAGGTGCAGTGGCTCATGACTATAATCCCAGCACTTTGGTAGGCTGTGGAGGATGGCTTGCTTGAGACCAGGAGTTTGAGACCAGCCTGGGTAACCTAGTGCAACTTGATTTCTACAAAGTATTTTTAAATTAGCCTGGTGTAGTATTGCATGCCTGTAGTTCCAGCTACTTGGAAGGCTGAGGAGGGAGGATGACTTGAGCCCTGGAGTTTGAGGCTGCAATGAGCTATGAGCTATGGTTGTACCACTGTGCTCTAGCCTGGATGACAGAGTGACAGACCCTGTCAAAAAAATAAAAATAAATAAGTGAATGAATATGTACATAGAGAATTATTTTATTTTACTTTTTCATAAAAATGAAATCATACTATGTAACATTTTAATTTTTTTCACTTATAATAGTTTGGGGATCCTTCTAGATCAGAACATCAAGATCTTTTTAATAGATGCATATTATTTCATTAGTATTAACAGATAGATATATCATAATTTATTCAACCTTTCTTTTGGTGAAGTGTTCACAGTTTTTCATTTCTCCAGAGTACACATCCTTATACATTTATGTTATTGGTATACGTCTTATAGAGACATTCTCAAAAGTTCCATCTCTAGGTCTATGTGACAACACTTCTTTTTAACCTCAGCCGCAGAGGCAGGTTCCTCATGCTCCTCAGTCCATGACACAGTCACCCTTGGTCTGTGCAGCCCCATCCCCACTCCCACTCACCTCACCTAAAGCCTCGGCTCTGATGTGTCTTAGTGTACTTGACTATGTGTATATCTTTGGAATATATACATTTAAATTTTTAACAAATGCTACCAAAGTAATTTTCCAAGTGGTTGGGGTAATTTAGAGAGTAGTTATTTCTCCACAAACTCATTAAAGATTGATATTATCAATCTTTAGCATTTTTGCCAATCTGAAGGGCAAAAAGAAAAAAAAAGGTATCCATTTGTTTTCAGTTTGCATTTTCTTGTCTATTGGTGACATTGATGGTGTGGCTCACAAAACCTAAAATGTTGACTATATGACTCTACAGAAAAAGTCTGCTAATCACTGCTTTAAAGCCAAAATACACAGCTGTAATACCTTTTCTCTTGAGGTAATTTTTAGAAAGTACTTCAGCATTTACAATTCAAGCCCTGTAATAGTGTAAAATATTGCCTGAACAAATGAACATTTTTACCACTGTCAGTAGAATAGAATATAATGGAAAATATTAAATCTATTCAAATGGCATGAAACGGTCCCCTTCCTTTCAGATGGAAAAAGAAATAGTGCCCATAACATGCATAGGTAATTAATAGGTGGTAGTACATTTAATGTTTATAAAATCAGAATTTTCTTAGTCAATAGTAAAAGCTCTTGCTTGTAAGTATGATTCTATTGACAGTATTATTTAATACTAGTTTAGTATCTTGACTCAAGGATGATACTGGCAGATGAGCTTTAAAATTGACCAGTTAATAGACAGCATGGGGAGAGTTTTGAGTTAAATAGTTAAATAGAATAATGGTTGGATAAATGTTCTGGTTAATTATCTGAGTCATCTGTTTTATTGTTCATCACCCACAGCCATCACAGACTAGAAATGAAAGGAGTCTCTCTTAGTGCATTTGTGTTGCTGTAACAGAATGCCACATAATGGATACTTTATAAAGAAAAGAAATTTCTTTCTCATAGCTCTGGAGGCTGGGTAGTTCAATATCAAGATGCCAACTTCTGGTAAGGGCAATCTTGCTGCATCACCGCATGACATAAAGCGAGGTCAAGAGAGCACACGCAAGAAAATAAGAGGGGGCCAAATATGCTTTTTATAACAAAGCCACTCTCGAGATAACTAACCCACTTTCACAAGAATTCATTTGTGAGACCAGAGCCTAATCATCTCTTATCAAGCCACACCTCCCAACACTTTTGCATTGGGGATCAAGTTTCTAACACAGGAACTTCAGGAGACACATTCAAACTGTAGCAGAGTATTACTATTTGTAAGTAAGGTGCAGGAAAAACAAACTTTATGTTTTCCTTCTAGAAATTCCCATCCAAAGGTTACATGTGGGAATACAGGGAAAACCCTCGACTAGCCTAGAAACTTGGGAGCTAAGTGTTGAGTTTTGAAGACACAAATATGTTGTGCTGTTTTTGAATCAAGAAAACAATAAAACTTGTAAAGGTATTTTCCATATTATCTATCACATGTATGAGCAGTACAAAATATAAAATGATGTAAACCACTATGATATGAATCTTAGTGCCCCCCGCATCCTCTGCCAAAATTTATATGTTAAAATTCTAACCCTGAAGGTGGTAGTATTAGAAGATGGGGCCTTTAGGAGATGATTAGGTCATGAGGGCCCTCACGAATGGGATTAGTGCCCTTATAAAAGAGGCCCAAGGGAGCTTGTTCTACCCTTCTACCATGTGAAATCACAACAAAAAGATGGCCATCTAGGAAGCAGGCCTTCACGCACCTTGATCTTAATCTCACAGCCTCAAGAACTGTGAGAAATAAATTTCTGTGGTTTATAAGCCAGCCAGTTTATGATATTTTGTTATAGCAGCCCAAACAGACTAAGACATTAACTCTAAGAAAAGTATTAATCAATTTTTTTACAAAGTAAGGGGAAGAAGGAAGGGCCAAAGATGGCTGAGTAGAAACAATGCCTGTCTAAAGCTCCCACCGAGAGGAACGCAAAAGGCAAGTGATTTCTGCCCTTCCAGCTGAGGTACCCATGTTCTTTCATTAGAACTGACTAGGTGTTTGGTGTAACCTGTGAAGAGCAAGGAAAAGCT